TCCTTCGATTTCTTGGGAGTAGTTTCTGATTCCTTTTTGGAAAAGCAAACGACACCTTCTTGCCTTAACTCTTTCAAGATTCAGGCTATTAACGACTTCAAGAAGCATTTTCTGAAGTATCGTACGCTGATGCAGCAATACCAGTTTATGGTTGACCAGAAAAATAGCGGTATTATCCCGCACAGCATCCGCATCAAACCGTTTGCTTTCGTCTGCAACAACGAAGAAGTGAAGCAGGAAGCTGATAAGGACCTGATGGAAGCCTGTACGGCATATCGTTAGCAAGCTCAACTCGTCATGATTAATATGAAGAAGAAGGCAGCCGACCGTGCTCTTAACGATGCTTATGGCGTCTACTCGAAGCTCCAGAGTCAGCTGACCAACTTTATTAATCTGACCAAGAATTCTGATCTCAGTGTTAAGAACTCCAAGCTTACTGACAAGCTGAACTTCTTCAAGAACCGGATCATCAAGGATTTTACCGAGTCAATGTCCCAGTTCTTCCTTGAAGCTGCTGTCGCTGAGACTCACCGTAAGGAGAAGAAGAAGGAAGATGACGACAAGAGAGCTGCTGCAGTGACGGAGGCGGAGAACCTGCCTGTTGAACCAGCAGTTCGAGAAATCGCGAAGCAGGAAGCCGAGAAAGCTGTTCAGCGACTCAGCTCTAACTTGAAGCGATCTACGTCGACACATCCTCCTAAGACTTTTACCCGCTCGGATAAGAAAAGGAATGCTAAGATATCTTTTTCGTTTAAGACTAACAAACCAGCTGCAATGTCCAGGAATCATTCCAAGAAGAAGCAGACTTCCAAGCAGCAGCAGCAGCAGAAGAAGACCCCTGATGGTACTTCAGACGCAGCTGCTAAGACGATGGATCGTGCCTTCTCTAAGAACATCAACCGCAATGCCGGTCGTCATCCTGGAACCAAGAAGCAGAAACCGAATACTCCAAAAAACGGAGGATCCGGCCCCGGAAAAACCAAGAAACGCTAGCTGCTGACGTGCATCAGTACGCGCTGATAATCTTCGGTCGTAAGACGGAGTTTCAGCTGCGGAACCGGATCAGCAACAAGGGTATCCATAACTTCAGTAACCGTGTGTTTACTCACAGCGAACTGAGTCTTCTTGATCAGGGTCTTAACTTCATTCCAGTTCCAGCTTTCCGTAGCATGTCCAGTGTAGAGTCAGAAGTCGACGGTTTCATAAGGAGTGTCAGGACGATGTATCTCTTTGATGGTGCTGAATTTCAGTCGGAGTACCCCGGTTACAAGTTACCAAAACGAGATAATTGGACACCGCCAGAAGCTTCACCCGAGGTTGAAACGGCCTTAACAGTTTTTAAACACTCGGTGTTGGAAAGCATCGGCAATCAAAACTTCACACTGTTGCGCCGGAGACACAAGAACTACACGCCTATTCTTAATCGACTTGCTCGAGATCCTAACCTTGTTTTTAAACCGGCAGATAAGAATCTGGGACTTACGGTTATGGATCGAGACTTCTACAAAGAACACTGTTTTAAGCATCTACTTAACCCGGCAGTCTACCGGGAGTATTCTTCAGTCCCAGTTCAGTATATCATCGACGAGCTGCAGCAGATCCATACAGATTATAAGCCGCTGCTCAGTACCCGGATTTGGAATTCATTCTTTAAGGCGCCGAAGGGGGGATGGAAGGTTCCGGCTTTCTATATTCTTCTAAAAGTGCATAAGAAGGTTCCAGCAGGACGGCCCATCGCGGCGTCTCATTCTTGGGTCACTTCTAACGTCTCACGCTGGCTTGATGCTGTCTTAAGACCTCTTGTGACGGCGCAGCCGACTTACACTAAAGATTCTCAGAGTCTAGTGCAGGCACTTGAAGGGAGATGCTTCCAGCAGAACCTCTTACTCGCTTCTTACGACGTGTCTTTATACCCGTCAATCCCTCTAATGGATGGAATCAATGCAGTCGATTACTTTTTAAGGAGAGAACGGCATCCTTTGGCTCCATTGATCGTTCGTCTTTTGAAGTGGGTCATGTTCAACGGCTTCGTCACTTTCGACAACCATTTCTTCCTTCAGATCCACGGCACCGCTATGGGTACTTCAGTAGCCGTGTGTTTTGCGGTGCTGTTTATGAGCTTCTTGGACAAGCAGCTACATGCGTCAATTCCTAAGCTTCCTTCTCTGCATCTGCGTTTTATCGACGATGGGCTTATCCTGTGGGAAGGCCCGCGGGAGGGGTTCATGAGTTTCAAGGAGAAATTTGACCAGCTGCATCCTTCCATCAAACTCACCTGGAACATTTCAGAAACGTCCATCGATTTTCTGGACGTCACTTTCTTTACAGGGAAGCGGTTTCAAGAGTGCGGTACCCTGGACGTTAAATTGTACCAGAAGCCCATGAACAGGTACCTATACTTACCGTTCAACTCTTACCATCGGAGAACCACCAAAGTCAGCTTTATCCAGAGTGAACTGAGAAGATTTCTCCTACGGTCTTCCTCACGTGAAGACTTTTTTAAGTCTCGTGCTCTTTTCTTTGCAAGACTGCGGGTTCGGGGTTACCCTGAACGGTTCCTTCTTCCCATCTTTAAGGGTGTTTCCTTTTCGGAGCGCTCTAAACTTCTTTGCGCTATTTCATCTCACCATTCCTCAAGTCGTGGCCCCCTCGTGTTGAAATGCGAGCTCAACCCGTTGGTTGACCGTTCGCGCGTGGGGACCATTTTGAGTCGACTCAAAAGTCACCTGGATATAATGTCACGCGACATTTTTACAGGACGGAGGGCGATCTTGGCATGGAAATTGCCTAAAAGAGTTGGAAGCTTTTTAGTTTCTGCTCGTAAGTGCTGAAGTTAGTTTTACTGTAGAATTTCATTTTTTGAGCCTGATTCAGGTTACTGTAGTGTAGCCGAGTCAGCCTGGGGTGTATATAAACCTCGGGAGGCTCGTTTCTCTCTTGTGGTCTGACGAAGGCGACTACGCCGAAACTAGTTACCACCATTTGATTTACACAAGAAACCATTCTACAACCAGGCTTTCACGCCTGAAATCTCTTTGAACCTATTCTTGCTCCAAAAGAAACCGCTGCCTCGTAATGTCTCCCACCACAAAGTGGTGTTCCTTCGGACTGCAGTGGCCGTGCTGCTGCCAGCTGGTGCCTTTCCTTCTCGGTCTTGCCATCACGCTCATCAGCATCACGATACTCGGCAAAGATGCCTGGCATGCCACCACAGCGGAGGACGTGAGTCATCATTGCCATGGCAGGCAACGAGTTATGAGTAGTATCTGGTGTAAGGTGCTTGCTCTACGGGAAGATGTTCACCAGCTCAAGCCTACGTATGATATGAGCATAATGTTGAACCTGAACTGTTTTGTGCTGAACCGACTGGGATGTAATTCAAACCGAACCAAGCCTAGTTTGGGTTGAACCGTGTATACCTCTTACCGTTTGAATTCGAGTTTTGCTGGTCGACAGTTGGCGTTTCAAGTTAGACGTGTAAGGTTCAAGCTAGCCTCACACTCTCTCTAATACTACATCTGTCTTTCACTTGCAAGCTCTTTGCCTTCAGACTCAGCATACACCAACGGTCTCCATTCTTCCTTGTTGCCTCTTGCCGCTTCAACGTGACACCACCAGCCAGCAAGTCAACCATCCTCGCATGCTCCCTCTCCTTCCCTCAATCTTGCGTGTCTTATTGACCTTTATTGTCTGCCTGACTTGACCTTTATTGTCTTGTTGCCTCTGCACGTGCTGTTCTTGGCATGGATATAAGGAGGATCGTTTCCCAATAAATCTGTTATATATTTTATATATTCTGTTGCGTGTGTGCCGCCATGCCTGTCTGCGTGCGTGTGTTCGGCCCTCTTCGTATGCATGCACGTGCTGTGAACCTCTCAGCCCACTGTCACGTGTCAGAACGCCACGTGCGGACCTCCCACTCATCATGCCCATGCAATTGCGGCATCTGGTCAGCATGCCCGTACCCTCATCGTGCCGCCTCACTCTCTCCCGACCCTGGTGTGTATGGAATAACTGGGGTTTTTTCACTTGCCACCTTGCTGCAAGCGACATACGTTTTCTGTCATGACTCGATGTTTTGTTGTGCTGTAACCTGACTGTCACCCTGTAATCTTATACGTGTTTCAATATTTCATCCCTCGTTGTCCCACGACCACAGCCTTCGGTTATTGTGCTGTATTCTGCCATCGCCACTCTTATAGTAGTGCTGTGGTGTAAGGATGTGACCCACATGCAAGTCAGAGCATGGGTGCATCAGCAAGGCTTGGCTGGGCTGATGAGGCTGAAGACTGCAAGCAATTGCTTCGTGGTATGCCATGCGCTCGGCCCTCCACCACTGCAGCTTTTCTGCTCAGCAATCTTCTAAGCACCCAATCCTTTGTACACTCACTCGTGTTTCCCGTGCTACTGCACGTTCCTCTCCGGTCCTTCATCCTCCTCCCTCCTGCACTTCCTTCACCACTCATCCTGCCTTCCTTTTCTCGCCTTCACCATGCTGCAGCCACGTGGAATCTTCTCTCTCCTGCGCAGCCTTATGTGAGCATGCCCCACCTCATCACTATTGAACCTCATCCTCCTTTCATATATGTCCCCACTTTCTGCAAACTACATGTGTGTCGGTGTGGATTTACTAGTGTGAAGTGTTTTGTCTCAATATTGACTCTATGCTTGATGCTCATGCGCGACGCCCACTCGTTGTTACCTACATACGTCTCATGCTTGCTAGCTCTAATTATGGTTTTGTCTCATGTGTTTTTGTACTTGCCAGACATTTCATTCACTCTGAACTCTTTTCAGTGTCCTATTTCCTTCTGTCAACTTCCCATGTTTCCTCCTCATTTGACAGTACAGTTATCAACTTTTTGCCAGACATCCCTATCTTCTCATTTCCGTGCTTGTTGCACACGCACCCATGTTGTGCCATGCCATGCGTGCGTAAGAAGCATGTTACTTTTGTGATGCAGAAACTGGGTAAGGCAGTTGGGTCTGTCTTGGCGACTATGGCTGGAACTCACGAGTTGAGGGAGGCGATGGAGATGAGAATGAGGGCGCTTGACGTGCAGCTGGAAGAGACAAGGAGGGAGTTAGCAGCAGCCAAGGGGGATTTGAGTGAACACAAGAGCGTAGGGCAAGCAGAGGAGGAGACAGCAACCAAGGGGCAGCTGGCAGCCGCAAAAGGGGAATTTGCAGCAGGCAAAGCAAAGCTGGCATCAGTGAAGGGGAGGGTCGCTAAGCTGGACAATCGCATGCTCAAGGTCGAAACGGCCCTGGAGGAGGTCTTGGTCTCTCTTGTACGAGACGACTGGGGAAGCACACGGGCGTTGACTGTAAGTTGTAACTGTTGGGTGGGATGGGCGAGTATGCAAATGTTGGATTATGATTTGTTTTTGTGAGAACTCAGTGCTTTGTGTCTGCTGCATAAGTGCTGCAATATTGGACGTCAGTCGGTCGATACCTGCTTGCATCAAGAGGTATTTGATCCTTGCTTGCATACCTCTTGTTGTGGGTTCCCTTCGCTCCAGGCCGTGTCGACAGCATTCAGCGGGGAGACAAAACAAAGTACGACATTGGATTTGACAGTTTTGCCCAACCTAACAGACATGGAACTTCGAGTTGTGTCCACAATGACACATCTGAAAACAATCTGGTTGACTGGGTCCTCAGGCTTCAGTGCAGAGGGCATCAATAACATTTTCAGACTTCCACGGCTGGAGGAACTAGATATGACAGACACTTCCGTGTCAGATAGTGCTTTAAAAGGCATTGGAGGAGTGAGAAGCCTCAGTTGGCTCAGTCTCGACAGCGCCAATGTGACGGATGCTGGCTTGCTGCACCTCACAGGTCTTTCTTCGCTCTCTGCATGAAAAGTTGAGAAATGCAAGCAAAGAACATGGCAGCTTCACATTCATAAGGTAATGACAAGCAGTGGACATGCAAACTTGGAAGTGAGATAAGCGGGGTAGACGGAGTTTCTTATCAAAATCTCATCAATATCGTTAGACCCTTTGCTTTGCTCTCAGGCACCAACTTTCAGGCTGACAGCAACCCTCCCCCCATCTTATTGGCTGGTTTGCTTGCTATCACCCAATCTCCTCCTACATGCCACACCCACCATCCACTCTTCTCCCCCGCCCTCCTTACCCCTCTCCACCCAGTCCTCCCTCTTCCTTGATGGTCCGCACCGCACTCCCATTGTCTTTCAAAGAAGATTATCTCCAACCACCTGATTCCACTATCGCTTCCCCAATCTGCTCTCAGTTTTTTCGAATGCATCCACCCTTGTTGCTTAACCTCGTTACTTCACCCCATTTCTTGTCTCATCACTTCCCCTCCATGACATCTCATTCGCCACTAATGGGCAATGGATACAACAGTGGATGCTTTGCTTCTTTGGAGCTGCAGCTACGTCTGCAGAGGCGGCTGCATGTATTTCACCAACCCCTCCTGCTACCACCTGCCCACCTGAGGTTTTGAGCCCTTCACATCTGCTGGTGCACCAGCAGCTGCCACATTTATACCCCCTATGCCTAATGCTGCCACAATTAAAACCCCTCTCCTTGCAAATCGACTCCTATCCCCTTCTCCCTTAGTATCCTTCCCCAACTCCCTTCTCAGGAGTTCACCACCCCCGCACCCTTTTCCCACCTCCAGCCCCCACTTTTTCCCTCACTGCCCTTTTCTCCCCTTGCCCTCTCTTCCTCTTTCGTGCTCTGTTCTTCACATTTTTCATGGTTTCCCTTGACAATCACATCGTGCTCCTCGGGTATGTGCTGAACGGAGATGACTTTGAAGCCACAGGCCAACCTGACCCGGGTTGATCCGACCTGAACCGACCTGAGATAGAACTGGGTCTGACCAGATCAGGTGGACCCGGGTTGTTCACGCCCATTTCTTTCCTACCCACCTCTCTGCAGTTTTCTTCCCCCTTCTCCTCCCGCCCCCCTCACCCCTGCCACCTCATTGACCTTTGCCACCCCATTCCTGCCGCACCCACTTAAGGACACACATGAGGTGCTTATTCTCCTAGCACATGAAGTCCTGTACACTGTTGGTACAGTGCTGGTCTGAATGATCACTCAAGCTACAACCCCCTCCCTCTCTACAACAACCCAAGAAAAACAAATTCAACCCTTCGTCCCCGGTGTCTCTTACTGCCCTTTTTCCTCTCTTGTCCTCCATCTGTGTTTTCATTCAACTCAAAATACGTCTCTTACTACCCTTTTCCCTTGCTTCTCCTCCATCAGGTATAGATGAAGAGAAGGGAGCATGGGAGAAAAGAAGCGTAGGTGCATTGGTGGGGGAGCATAGGAGCATGGCTGGATGGGAACATAGGTGCATGGAAGATTCCACATTCCTTGAAATGCAGCACTTGAACCAGTGGTCACTGGCCATGGGACCAGCATGGTGAGTGTGGAAGGGAGGGTAAACTGGCAAAGGAGCTGATCACCCTCGTGGACGGTCATAACAAGTTATTCAACCCCCCTCCCCCCAAATTCTTCTGCTCCTCCCCCCCCCCCCCCCATCCTCCTCCTTTCACCCCCCGCCACTGTCCTCCCTCCCTCCTCCCCCCCACTTCTCGAACATCCTTCCGCCTCTTCTTTTTCCATCCCGCTCCCCTTGTACTACTTACTATTCCCTCCCTGCCATTTACCCTTTTCTCCCCCAGCTTTCACTTCTGCATTTCCAAGTTCTCCACTCACCCCCCTTCACCCATCGCATCCATCAGATCAACCTATTGCACCCTGTGCAAGAACCAACTGTACCTAGGCATGGTCAACTGGCCCGACCCGACCCGACCCGCCTGGGCGGCCAGCCGGGTTCCGGGTCGTGTCGGATCAGGTTTGACTTTCCAGGATCACTAACCCGACCCGGGTTTCGGGTACGGGCTCAAATTCGACCCGCCCCCAGGTCGGGTCGACCCGGGGTCGGGTTGGGTACAGAAACTCGATTTCGCCCGCCCTCTGTGCAAATCATCGATTTCGCTAGCCTATCTGCACAAATCGGCGACTTCGTTGGTCAATGTGATTTTGCCATTGTCTGTGAGCGAGGAAAGCACACGTCCGCTCCCCCCCGTCAATTTTGTTGGAATGAGAAATCACAACCAATTCGCCGCCACTTACCGCTCGTCACGGCACTGGATCTACAAATCTCACCCCCCCATACACTTTCACACATCTCGACATTGAGCCCAGCCCAACCCAAGGATATAAACGAAGTTCCCAACCCTAATCACATACTTATGTTCCTAGTGAAGAGCCAGCTAAGTACTTAGGCGCAATACCCAGCCCGATTAGGCAGAAAGTACTCGATTTCGGGTCAGGTCAAAAGCGGGTCAAAACCCGACCCGACCCGGCCCGCTTTTGAAAACCAGGTTACGGGTCGACCCAACCTGGCCGGGTATACCCGCCTCGACCCGGCCGGGCCGGCCTCCCCGAGACGCTGACTCGACCCACCGGGCCAGTATGCTCAAGCCTAACTGTCCCTCCTCATCTCACGTCCTGCACTATCCGCCATCACCCTCGCATATGCACCTTCACCAACCCAACCAAGCAAGCAGCAGTATTATAGCCATGACACCTTTAGACAACCCCCTTTCCTCCCTTCGACAAGGCTACATCCACCTTTAGATTGCCCCTTGCACTCTTTCCTCTACAAAATGTGAGACGCCACATCCCATGCCCAAAACTCGGTTTTCCCCATCTTTGCACACTGACCAATGAACGAGCAATGACTAGGGTTACTTGAAACATTCTTTAGGGGGGCGAACAGTGCTGAAACATTGGAACACATGTCAGAAACTATGTCCCCCCTTCTCCATTGTCTCTGCAACTTCTACAGTTCGCAGTCGAACCCAGCCCCGCACGTGCCAATTTCGATTGATACAGCAAATCTATTTCGGTTATGCTGGATGTAGAGTGGTGCACATGCTCTTCCGAATTTTCACGAACCCAGGGAATCTGAAATCGCGGATGCTGATGTTTCTTCGCGTGATAACAAACACAACTATAGCGAGAATTGAACAAGATAAGATGTTGCTGACGCGTCAGAAACAGTCACCCTGAAGGTGCGGTGTCACCATCAGATGTGACAGCGCTGATGGGTTTGGCCTGGTGTGGCGAACAGACAACCCCAAAAAACCAGGTCGCCAACATTTCGACAATCTTCGCGTGCGACCCAACACCGTGCAGTTGACATTTCTCTCCCTCGCCACTCAAAAATCACCAACACCTCAGCATGCTTTCATTTTCACTTGTGAAGATTTTCATGCTCCATTTTCTACACTCTTTTAGCTTGCACGGTTCCATGGCTGCTGCATATCTGTTCCTTCCTTACGCAGACGTTCCTGAAATGTGTATCTATTTTGTTCTTACGTCCTCCCTCCAGCAAAATTACCGCTTTGGCGCACGATTTCTGCCGTGAACTTCGCCCAGGCTGCACGAATCTCGGGGTGACGCTACCGTCTCACGCCATACGCTCGCTGGTCTAGTTATATGCAACATAAGTTGAGTTTCTGTCCCAGCCAAGAACGCATTGGCTAATTTAACCTTGTTACTGCCTATTTCGTTGCAGAGTACAAGCGCGCATGATTACACTCTATACCAGCGACTTCCGACATTATCGTCAAGCCTCCGAGAATACCGTCGCCTAATTGTATTTAGTTTTCAGAAGACTTATCGCCATATTTTCACCAAGGTTATCACGGTTCGTGGAGGAGTTCCCAGCGACTCATAAACCAACCACATGAATGGCCTACTTTATCGGTAGGTTCACGTTCGTTTTATGGCACGTTACCATTGCTGTGTTGACCCAACGCTGCTGCGTGTGTTGCTGATGAGTGCAGACCCCTCGTCACGCCCGAAATAAGTTGTTTATTAATGCATGATACATATGTGTTGACTGTATGTTGTACGTGGGTGTATTGTAGGAAGTCCGTTTCTGCTTTTCCGTGACAAGGCCGACCTGGTATTGTGGTTATGGTTGTTATTGGTGTACGGTTGAGTTGAAGTATATGAGATACGGATCATTTCATTTTTTTTAGCAGAGAATGAATTCTTGTAACGATTTGATACCACCCATATCCATTTTGTAAGTTGTACTGCATTTTGTGTTTTGCCTTTTCTTGTTAGTATTGAATATGAAAAGTTTCGTGTATTGTGATAGTGATTCGTTATTAACAGGCGCTTAATGATTAGTTCAGTTGCTATAGTGAGAATCAGCAATGCTGGCAGCATGCTGGCGCACTGCTTGCCGAACCTGCTGAAGAGTGCTGAAACAAACCAATCAATGATTCCTCCAAGAAACGTCAACTGTTCAGCATTCATCATGATAAACCACAAGCATTGACGGCAGGGGAAAACTTCAAGCAATCCCCATGAAATCCTTTAGCATTCTTTTTCCTTCTTGAATTTTGTAGAGTCCCCCTATCCCCTACTCCCCCCGCCTCCCCACCTTTTGTCCCATCTCCCCACCTTGGTGCTGGTGAACTCCACCATCTCTCATAAACCCTCATACTCACCCTCTCGCCCACCTTCCCTTTGCCTGCCCTCCCCCCATCTCTCATGATGGCATGGCGTGGGGTATGATGGTGAGGCTGGTGGAGAGAGCGCTTTCATCTCAAAAATGGGGGGGCTCAAAAAGTATGGTGTTGAGGAGTATGACTGGAGTAACAAAATGAACCGAGTAGGAAAACATACTTTCGACGCGTCGGGTCGAAACGAAATCAGCCCAGGCAGCTTCGGAATTCTCGGATGTGCTTTGGGCAGCTTAGCTGTCAGCTTCGCAACTCCCCCTAGTGGCCGAGCGGCTTGGTTTTCAGGTTCCGCTGCACATTTCAGCTTCGGGAGCTGTGAGGGAGGCCAGGAACCGGGCGCTGCTGACCCATTGGCTGTAGGTCTCGACCCAATCTGCTGTGTTGGTGCGGAAAGAACTGTAATATTATGACATATTGTGTAGACACTCATTGTGGAATTGTTACGTTCCATGTGTAAGAAGTTTTTAAAAAGTGCCACATGAGTTATTGTGTTAAATATTTATCTATTGCATTTGTAATATATCGGGCTCTTGATTGAAAATACAAAATAAATAAACTTGAGTATGCAAAGCTTTGTACTTGGTTCACTACCTCTCCATATTAAATAGAATCTACCTAATGAACGCCCTTTGTAGGATCGTTAGTCAGATTCATCTTTCACATTCTACAACCGAGAGCAATTAGCATAGCATCATTGTCTACGATGCAACATAGCGATTGAGAATGAAGGTTGACCGGTCCCGGTATGATCGCACAATATGGACGGAGCGCAAAATGGACCGTGCGTCAATTACACAGTGTCGGGGATGCGCATCCCTCAATTTGAGCTTCACGCAATAAGTCTTATCGTCCACCTCACCCGTCTCATACAAACGCACGTACGCCAGAGCTGTGGGCTCACCATCCTCTCGTCGCGTGCTTATGTGGAAAAGCATGAGCAGGTCTGCATATGTTGTGCTGTTCTCCTGCTTCCTCCGAATAGGTCTGTAACGGTCTGAAGTATGGCAACACGTGAAAATGCGGGTGACCCATGGAAGCTCGGTGTTGCGCGAACGTAGTGCGCCTCCCTCTCTCCGCTTGTTGGAATGGTAAGTGCCGAATGGACCTGGAAGGAAGAGATGCACAACCCCTTTTAAGAAATTGAATGACACATGTTCATGGCATCAATCATGGTTGAGCATACATGCATTTTGTACAACCACGGCAGACACGCACTCTGTACAAGCAGCACACACACACACACACACACACACACACACACACACATACACACACACACACATACAC